CACACACACACACACACACACACACACACACACAGCTGGTGGTCCCCGGAGGAGGAAAGTTTCTTCAGCTGCGGGTTATGACGGTGAGTGATGGATCGATTGATATTCGGGTGTGTGAGCTGATGCTGACTCTGCGCCTGAACTTTATGTGAAACACAGAAAATCAGCAGAAATCAATCCGCTATTTGTGTTCAGAAGATTCTTTAAATCAGCACGAAATATTGAATGAATATATGGTCAACCCAAACAGCCGTGCCGCTTGTTCCCTGAGCAGTGATGCAGTGTTCAGTGACTCCAGGACTTTATATTTGAGTGCTTTCTGTCTGTTCTGAGTCCTGTTCTGTTAGTTTCTCTCTCTCTCTCTCCGTCTTCAGTTCAGGTGTGGCTGGTCATTATTCTAGCTCCTTCTGTTCAGTGTGAGTTTGTCGGGTCTCGTCGGTGTTGTGGATGAATGTTTCTCTTCATCTTCGTCCTCTCTGTGTGTTTACAGCAGTTAGCAGGTTTGATCACAAACACTCCTCTGCTTGCTCTTTAAAAATGACAGATTAATTTAGAGGAGTGTGTTACACTAAGTGCAAATAGGCTGCATTGTTGACAGAGGCTGTTTACACTGACTTCGCCCACTAACGTCTGATTGGGTTAGTCGACACCGACACGATAAAGCCGCTCGTGGAGTTTCAGTTGCGTTGCTGGTGAGGCGCGTGCTTCCGATCCGAGTTCGAACCCTCCTTTGTTTTGCCGAACTTTTTTTCCTCCCTTTTCAAATCTCATATCGCATCGGAAAGGCATTTGTTTTCAATAAAAATTAAGGAAATAATCAAAAAGTTGAATATAAAGTATCGGGTAGGGCTCTATTGTTCCAGTAAGGTGGCATCCATTTAGAATTAAAATGATAATTTACACGCAATACGTTATTATTGCATACTGTTTTATAATGCACTATAATACTGAGGTGCAGATAATTGCCACTATTTGCAACAAGTAGTATAAATAGCAGAAAATCTTGCTGTTTTAACATAGTGCAAATAGCCGCTGCCTTAATTTAGTGATCAGATTTAACATCCTTATATGATCATATTTTGTAATGATCATTTAAATCTGACTCATTTTCAAACTGTTTGTCTTAAATCAACATCTCAGGAAAATGTTATGGGGTTTCAAATCAAAATATGACTTTCTGTGATGAAGCAGGACATTGATTTCATTCGTGTGGACTAATAAAGTGTTTATTAGGCATTCTGGGAGAATAGGGAAAGAAATTATGTTTCAATATTCCTCTGAAATATTAGATATTATTATTATTGTGAAAATCCTGCCATTATTACACTTCTTTTTTTCATTACGTTGCCCCAAAAACACATTAATATGCAAATGAGATGCAGTGTATATAATGGGAAAACCCGTTTACACATTACACAAAGCAACATGGTATCAAATCATCCTGTTATATCTTTCAGAACATAATTGAGAATCATCTTTATATAAAGTTTGGTATAACATTTTCTTTTAATTGATTGGTGATTTTTTTTTTAATCCCACTGTTTTTGCCTTTTCATGTCTGTTCATTTTTTTAATTAATATAAAAAATAAATAAAAAACGACTTTTTAAAGTGTGCTGTGCAGAGGACATAGCATATAACTTTTCAAAAATGTTATTCTTATGCTAAATTTGATAAATTGTCGTAGTGCATTAATAAATCTGGTCAAAGGTTAGATCAGACGCAGAGCAGCCGTAGGAATCAGACCTACGTCAGTGTGTTTGTCATCTAATGCTTCAGTTCTTCAGAGAGCAACTTTTATTTCGAGACTAACGCTGTTCTGGAAATGTCAGATCAGTGGAGTGTTTTCTAGAGGACGCCAGTCTGATGGTTTGTGTCTGCGGTTCATACGCTGCATTAATAACACATGCAGAGACGGTCGCTTCTCTGTCTGTGGAGTCCAGCAGCGGCGGTGTGGAAATGTTTTTGTTAAATGTTAAATACTGATTCACAGACTCTTCTCTTTTACTGCACTTTTCTGATTGATTCTGTACCTGCTGTGATGAAACTCCTTCTTACCATGATTTACCATCTTCACACTTCAGAGGCTCTGATCATTTTCATCAATCTTTCATGTTGCTTTATAGCCTCACATGAATTCCTGTGTAAATGCATTTATTTTTAGACACCTGGATTATCCACATTTCACACGACAAACCCCCGGACCCGTCTGAGCTCATGTTTTGAATGCTCTGAATCCTCGAGCTCTGCATGCAGAAGAGTTGGTTTGGTCTCTTCTGTGCTTCAGTAACTCCGGCTGATATCTGTGCGCCTGTAATCGTGTTGTTGTTGAATCCGTGCGACTGCGAGCCGTGAATGCGAGTGAATCTGAATCCTGTGAATCTTCAGCTGAATGGTGCTGAGTTCAGTGTGAATCAAACGCTTCATCACAGACGCTTGGGTCGATGTTTTCTGTCTGTGTTTGTTCATGGAGTTTGAATGGAGTCTGTTTCATCTGAGTGGTTAATAGAGCTTCATCACCATCATCATCTTCACTGCGGCTGCTGAATAAACCATCAGCGGTGATGAGAGGCGTTTAACGCTCATCAATAATTAATGAGCTCCTCACTGAATAATTAATGGTGTCTGTTCCCCGTCACATGCTCAGACTCACTGCACTGTGTGGAGTGTGTAGTGTGGAGTGTGTAGTGTGTAGTGTGTAGTGGGGAGTGTGTAGTGTGGAGTGTGTAGTGGGGAGTGGGGAGTGGGGAGTGTGGAGTGGGGAGTGGGGAGTGGGGAGTGTGGAGTGGGGAGTGGGGAGTGGGGAGTGTGGAGTGGGGAGTGTGGAGGGGGGAGACTCACTGCACTGTGTGGAGTGTGTAGTGGGGAGTGTGTAGTGTGTAGTGTGTAGTGGGGAGTGTGTAGTGTGGAGTGTGTAGTGTGGAGTGTGGAGTGTGTAGTGGGGAGTGTGGAGTGTGGAGTGGGGAGTGTGGAGTGTGTAGTGGGGAGTGTGGAGTGTGGAGTGGGGAGTGTGGAGTGTGTAGTGGGGAGTGTGGAGTGTGGAGTGGGGAGTGTGGAGTGTGTAGTGGGGAGTGTGGAGTGTGGAGTGGGGAGTGTGGAGTGTGTAGTGGGGAGTGTGGAGTGTGGAGTGGGGAGTGTGGAGTGTGTAGTGGGGAGTGTGGAGTGTGGAGTGTGTAGTGTGGAGAACAGAATTCAGATAGTCTTCACTCTGATCTGATAGTCACCGTGTCTCTGGGATCCGCATCACTTCCTGTTCCTGATAAAGTGTCTGGTCATTTCCTGTTGGATTTCCATGTAAACAGACAGTCAGAGACGAGAGATACAGATTTATCATGTTGATCTCTTCTACAGAGTCAAGATGAAATGCTTTTGCAGCCCATAATGTGATGTATTTCGTGTCCTGAACATGTGTAGTGTTATTCCGTTAATGCAAGCTGAATCACCTGATTATGAGTTAGTCATAATAATAACAGCTGATTGCTGTGTTTAAATAGTGGGAGAGAATATTCCTGTGTGTGTGTTTGTGTGTGTGTGTGTGTGTGTGTGTGTGTGTGTGTGTGTGTGTGTGTCAGTGGTGAGTGGGTGTGTGTGTGTGTGTGTGTGTGTCAGTGGTGACAGAGGAACATCACGTGTGTTTAGACTTCAGAACGGCTTGTTCTGGTTTTTCTTTCGCTCAGTGTGTGTCTGTGAAGTGTCTCTGTCTGGAGTGATGGACTCGTACAGGATATGTTTCTGATATCATGATGGATTGAATCTGTTTATTATTTATTAAACCTGATTACATGCAATCATATTCTTTTGCTCATCTGTTCTTCTGAGTAACAGCCTGATTTCACTGACAGGAGTCTGTGTGTTTCTCAGTTCATTTCCTGTGACGTTGTTCAAGATCTGATGGTCTGAGGCCGAGTTTCTGTTTCTGTCATGATCAGTGAGTTTGTGTTCAGCGCTGTCCACCTGAAGGTAAACACATGTACATGAAAAATAGATATTTCATAATAAGGAAATGCATTTATTTTTATAGTAAAATTATAGTACTTATATTTTCATTTCTTCACTTGCAAGAGTTAAACCCTCAAGCTTTTATTTTGGCAGAAAACACTGCGGTTAGATGTGACGATGTTTGTTAATGTGTGTGTTGAAGGTTGATCATGAAACACAGCGCAGATCTGCATCATGCATCTGGTGCTCGAAAGTCTGCGGCTTCATCCTCCTCCTCGTCTTCATCATGGTGTCTTACGTGCTGTCCAGCGAGAGGAAGACTCTGCTCTTCGCTCCGTATCTGATGGAGGAGGACCTGAGTGAAGACGCCCTCAGAGACGTGGTGCGCAGCATCGCAACTAAAGTGAAGTTCAGAGCCAGACGGGTTCCTGACGTCAGCGAGCTGATGGGCCTCGAGGAACACGTGAGTTCAGATGTCATCACAATCTTCAAAATACACATTAAGAGAGTAGTTCACCCAAAAATGAATATTAGCTGTAAATGTGTTCACCCTCAGGATCATCAGAGATCAGGATGAGTTTGTTTCTTCATCAGGTTTGTAGAAATGTAGCACTGCATCAGTGTCTCAGCAATGGATGCTCTGCAGTGAATGGGTGCCGTCAGAATGAGAGTCCAAACAGCTGATAAAAACATCACAATAATCCACAGCTCTCCAGTCCATCAGTGAACATCTGGAGAAGACACAAGCTGAAACTAATCCAGCATTAACACGCTTTAACTAAAATACCATAGAGTCCATAATCCACAATAACTCTTCCTCCAGTGAAAAAGTGCATCTGCTGTTGTCTCTCATATGTGTTTAGAGCTGTTTAACCGCTGCTTGATCTGTGCAGATTTCTCTCCTGATTCACACCAGAACACTGACTCACTGGAGGAAGAGTTATTATGGATTATGGAATAATTTCTATTACTTATATTACAATTAGTGTAGTATTTAAGGTAAAAATAGAGGGTTTTAAATTCCAAAGCAAAGAGGCAAATTAGAGTCATTTTGTGGTTGGAAAAAAGATCATTTTTATTTGATTTATTTGATTTGTAAAGCCATGGTTTACGCACTAGATAACTGTATGGCTCTTTAATAAATATACATGTATCTGTATCGAGTTTCTCAAAAGAGTATTGCAGGTCTGTCCTGCTCTACAGATTCACAACTACAAATTCAGATTCGGTTAGAATTCTGCATGTTTAATCATCATCATCATCATCATCATCTCCGTGATGGGAACATGACTGGAAAAGCCAGGAAACAGTTCTTTCGTGTCATCTGAAAGTGTCTTTCCGGACGCTCTGCCAGGAAAGTCCATTAAATGCAGTGACGCCGAGAGCATCTGGAGATCAGCACTCTTCAGAAAGTGTTTAGATTCCCTCTGATGGTCTGATGTCAGTGTGAGGGATGGATTTCAGACTCTGTTGAATGATGAAGGCCAGTATTTGAGCTTCTGATGTCAGAATCTGATGATTGTGAGCTAAACAGTGACAGTTTATAAAGCGGAGCGTTCCGGTGCTTGACTCTGATTGGCTGAGCCGCGTTCGAAGCTGTTGTAAATGACGCTACAAAGTAACACACACCTTTGTTTACGTTTGTGTGTTGCTCGGCAACCACTTTGTAGCAACCACAACTGTTTCTGAGGAGCTACATTGTTTGGTGGAAGAATACTGTGTTTATTAATATCATTACACTTTATTTGCTCTGCTTTATTTTGTGAAACCTTACTACGTATATAACCGTTTTATAAAAGCAGTAATCCCCGTGAAGCCGTGGTTTACAGTGAATTTATAACAGCTAAGGGTTCTTGGGGCTTATTGCTTTAGTTTGCACCGTCTGCGTCTGTCTGAACTCTTTCCAACAGCGTCTAACCAAACCAAAACAAGCGATGCCATACAAGAACCATTTCGAACCGTTCGGCGATCAGTACCTTTATTTTCACGAGTGTATGGCATGTTTCTGAGATGTTGAGATCCGAACGAAGCGTCTGTGTTGAGTGAGTCAGAGTAAAGCATGCTGTGATCCGTAACCCTCTCTCTCTCTCTCTCTCTCTCTCTGTGTGTCTGCAGATGTTCTCTGTGGTTCCGCGGCGCTTTCTGCCGGACGTTAAGAACCCCTGCTGGTTCGAGGAGGTGTGTGGAGACGTGAGCGCGGATCCGTACAGATCAAACCTGTTCGGTCGCTCCTTCAGACAGATACAGCTCATCTTTGAGCAGCTCAGCGGCTCCTTCAGACGGCGATTAACACGGCGTGATGGGAAACTGCAGCGGCTGCGCTGTCTGCCCTACTTCTACATCATCGGCCAGCCCAAGTGTGGCACGACGGACCTGTACGAGCGCCTGAGGCTTCATCCGGACGTCCGGCTCACGCCACCCAAAGAGCCGCACTGGTGGACCAGGAAGAGGTTCGGTAGGTTTGTGTGCGTGAGTGTTTCTGTGTGTCTCTCAGAGAAGCTGCTTTCATCTCACTCTCACTACCAACTAAACACACAAACCAGAACTGGATTAAAAACAGTGGAAACAAACAGTTCTGGTTTGTGTGTTCCTGCCAGAAGCGTCAGCAGATCCTCACGGAGTCTGATGGGAACTGAAACACAGATAAACTCGCTCATCAGAGCACAGTGTGATCCTCTGAGAATATGAGCGATTCATCAGGACACTCCTATAATGCACTCATCTGCCAGATTTATAATAATGAACAGAGACACCAATAAAACATCACTGGATTTGATTCATACCAGGTCTAGAAAATATACTACAAAGCTCAAGTTAGCACAGATCAAATCTAACATTCACGCACATTTATATATCTCTCTATACTGGCACTGTATAAACAAGATGAATTCAGTTTGGGCAGCCCTGTGCCAAGGCAACGTTTCTCATTTTTAAGTACTAAAATAACTAAACTAAATCATATGTAGCCATGTTAAAAAAAAAAAAAAAACTAATGAAACATTAAAAAAATCAGTGCTGATGTAGTAAATCATCTGACGGCACACAGGAATAAAGAGATTTGGTTTAGCTTCATGTGTTATGAAGCCATGAGATCCGTGTCGTGTTATGGCTCACACTTGAGTGAGTGTGTGTGTGTGTGTGTATGTGTGTGTGTGTGTGTGTGTGTGTGTGTGTGTGTGTGTGTGTGTGTGTGTGAGTGTGTGTGTGTGTGAGAGTGTGTGTGTGTGTGCGTGTGTGTGTGTGAGAGAGTGTGTGTGTGTGTGAGAGTGTGTGTGTGTGTGCGTGTGTGTGTGTGAGAGAGTGTGTGTGTGTGTGTGAGAGTGTGTGTGTGTGATGTTTCTCCTCAGGCTGTATTCAGATTATTTGTACTTCGGCACGTCTAATAAATCAGCGCTGGATTTCCATCAGAAGGTGTGTGAGTCTCTGCGGATGTTCGAGGGCTGTCTGCGGGGCGCCGGGCTGAGAGCGTGTGTGTACAATAGCACACTGAACAACGCCATGAGCGTGAGTGACCTCTGACCTCTGTGTTCAACAGGCCCTCTGATCTCTTCATTTACATATTCAAATGAGCTCAGAGTCCCATTTATTTCTATAGCGCTTTATACGAAACAGATTGATTCAAAGCTTCACCGTGATAAACAAGTAAAAAACAGAATCGATGATGCAAACTCCTTCAAATATGACACAATTTCTAATTCTGCTGCTCTACAGAAGTTTTGTTCTCATCTGATAGTGTCAGTGCAGTTAAATCAATCATATTACTGAATATTGAGTGTCTTTTAAATGCAGCGAGTGCCCCTATGCGCCTTCACTTGCTTTCTAATGCTGTGGTGTCATGTTCGGTAGCTCCGCCCACAATCAGTAGCTCCTCCCACAGTCACATCTCATTGGTTCAGAATCCCTGCCTTTAAGTGCAGATGGAAGCTCCTTCCTCTGAGCCGGACATTCTTTGTTAAGAGAAATCATACATTCAAGTTGGAAACACAACAAAGCAAAATAATTATATTGTGAACAATAAGCACAAATAATTTGACTTTCTGACTTGAAGAACACGAGACGTCAGCTCTGTTCTGATTGGTTGATTGTGTCACATTTTCACTCAGTGTGAGGTGACTGAATACGTGTGTGTGTGTGTGTGTGTGTGTGTGTGTGTGTGTGTGTGTGCAGGTGCGTCTGCAGGTGGGCCTATACGTGGTGTTTCTTCTGGACTGGATGTCAGTGTTCAGCCGTGATCAGCTCTTAGTTTTGCGTTTGGAGGATCATGCTTCAAACCTAGAGCTCAGCATGAGCAGGACCTTCCGCTTCCTGCGCTTAGGTCAGTCCTGATGTACTGGTGTTCATGTTCATGCTGTGAGCAGCAGGGGGCGCCACATTCATCATCATCATCATCATCATCATCATATGATTAGTGTTGTCATATAGAATGTGCAGATCAGAATATGTAAATGTGTATTAAAAAAATAACTAAAGAGACAAAAAAGATATGAACCAAATGTGATTTTAGTAGTAGACTTGTAATGCACTTTATAATGCATCATATGAATAATTGTAGCCACAGTTATAATACTTCATATATTCATTGTTACACCTTTAGAATGTATAATGCATTAAAACACATGACAAAATATTAGAATGCAGTTTAACTCTGGTAACAATTATTTATGAAAAGATGCAATGCATTGCTTTATTTGAAGTGTTGGCGTGATGTTAAACGGTGTTCAGATGAGTCTGACTATGATCTGTGTGAATGAACTCTTGCAGGAGCGCTGTCTGACCAGAGACAGAGACAGATCAGCAAGCGTCCCACGTCGAACACCAGACATCCGTCCGACAGGGATCTGGGCCCGATGCGTCCCATCACACGAGAGCTGCTCGCGCTGTTTTACGCTCCGTTCAATCAGAGACTGGCAGAGGTCCTGCAGGACGAGTCGTTCACGTGGGACGGTCGCTCTGAACACACGTGACGGCCGTGTGATGTTCCTGGATCTCACAGACACCATGAAGTCTGTCCGACAGCAAATGTGGAAGAATCTGGCTTTTATCTGTACTTTTAAATGGATAGTTCGCCCAAAATTATTTACAAAAAACCCTAAAGAAGATATTGTGGAAAAATTGGAAACTGAATAAGTTTGGACCCCATTGACTTTCACTGTAGGGATGAAAACCACTGAGGCGTTTCTCAAAACATCTCATTTGTGCTCCATAAAATAAAGACACGAGGGTGAATAAATGATGACAGAATGATCATTTTTAGGTGAACAATTCTTAAACCAGCAGCCTATAGATGAAAGCTAAAGCACTAGAAATCCAAAAATCGCTTTATATCACTTGATCTGCACTGAGCATGTGCGGAGTTTATCCTCACGTTTCCTTCACTCTGTCTGACTGCTGAACACACAACATTAACAAAAACAGCTGATGCTAACGAAAAGATCAAATTCAAAAAAGATCAGCAGCAACAAAGCAAAACAGTATTTCACGAGTTCACACTTACATAGGTTTTGTGTATGTGGCGTGCTGTCCGAGGGGAGGGATGCTAGAAAACACTCAAGGAACAGAAGCAAGTCTGCTGTGTATATGTAGCTCTTATCTTGTTAATTGAGTTGGTTACTGAATGAGCTCTTCTCGTGTTAATTAAGTTAATTATCTGAACATGCTCCTCCCGATAATAATTTAATCAAGCAGTTTTGAGGCTCATATGAATCTAAATTAACATAAAAATATATTTTTTGCTGAGATTAGATGTAGTGACACAATTTTGCGTCGTGATTACGTAAGGACGTGATTGTATGACAACGTCCTTTAGCAACAAATCGACCTTCCTTTAACAACTTCCCACGATAATTAGTTGGCAACACTGCTAGCAACATACTAATCATGTTAGAAAGATGCTAACAACATGCTAGCGATATGCTAATCATGCTAGAAACATTCTAGCGACATGCTAATAATGATAAAAACATGTTAACAATATGCTAATCATGCTAAAAACATAATCATGCTAGTGACATGCTAAACAAGCTAGGAAAATGTTAGCAACTTGCTACAAACATGTTAACGACATGCTAACAACATGCTAATCATGGTAGAAACATACTAGCAACATGTTAATCATTCTATAAACATGCTAGCGACATTCTAATCATGCTAGAAACATCTTAGCAACATGCTAGTGACATGCTAATCATGATCAAACATGGTAGAAACATACTAATTATGCTAGAAATATGCTAGTGACATGCTAAACATGCTAGAAAAATGCTACAAACATATTAATGACATGCTAATCATGGTAGAAACATACTAGCAACATGCTAGTCATTCTATAAACATGCTAGCAACATGCTAATCATGTTAAAAGCATGCCTAAACATGTTAAAACATTCTAGCTGTTCTAATTCATGCTTTAAACATGCTATTGATCTATCTATCATCTGACAATATCTATTTATCTATCTATTGATCTATCTATTTTTGTGACAGACTGTATTGCCTTCAAAACATTCAAACTTTAAACTTTAAAATTAATTTAAACTTCAAACTATTCCAAACTGAAAACTGTCAAACTTTTAAAAACTTTTAGGCTAGGCTTTCTCAAGCCAACTTCAAAGTTTGTCTTGATGAAATTTTTTAACTAGTTATTATTAGTAGTAGTATTATGTAATTAACATTAGGGCTTGTTTGTTCCATCATATTTATTTTTCCGCGTTTTTTTTACAGTGTTGTATGTTATAACCAATCGCACACGATTCCGTTGAGTTTATGAATGCAGCGGCCAATCAGATGGTCAGTACAGTCTTTTGAGTATCTAGGGATTGTGTTGAAAGGTGCTCCACGCATTCTGTTTATCATTATTTACAGGCCTCCAAAATACTCTCCAGCCTTTGTTGAAGAGTTCACAGAAATGCTATCAATGATTTCCTCAGAGTTTGACTGTTTTGCTATTGCAGGGGATTTTAATATTCACATAGATAATGCAGAAAACAAAACTACAAAA